AATCTAATCAGTTGGCAAACTTTATGTTTTATATCATATAGTCACATCTAAGTGTATCAGAATGTCCAGAAAACAAAATATTGCCCTTGAGACTCACGAGTGCAATATGAAGCATGGATTAGATGACGTCATCGTTCTACAGTCTAGTACGATAAAGCAACTCTGTTTTTTTTTTCTATTCAATTTCAACCTATTACAGTGTAAAGAATGAAGTCTGTCATTCCCTTCATGTGTATGATACACATAATTATACATCATTATGGATACTTGCTATTTTTTAATTCCATTTTCCAATCTCTTCCATCATAAATAAAATGTAATTATATGAGATTGTATATTGTAGGAATAGTAAATTATCTGACGCCTTGCTGACAGCTTACTATAATAGAACATCATGATAAACTTCTAATATGAGAAAGGCTGTATAGAATGTAGTCTGATAAATATTTTAACAATTGTAACCAGTATTGGCTGAGATAGCATAACAAACATTTGTCAAAACACCAATCATCTTTAATAGAAAACCACCAGCTACAATCAAAATATTCTTCTTATATAATAGAGCTAGTTACTTGTTCATTGTGAAATTATCTTTACTGTTTAGGCTAATCGTCTAGAGTATTATCCTAACTAGTTGAATAACCTAACTATATATATTCTGCTTCAGTGATCAGAAAACCATTATGAAATTGAAATCCCTATTCCTTCATTCAATTATCTTTCACTTCATATAATCATGGGACTCATTTCGTACCACTGGGCATGGGTGGAAACAAGCCTTGCGGCAAATTCGGCGTTGATAATATATGAAGGATCAGTTATTAAACGAATTAGGTCTGTTAATCGTCAGACATATCTTCCCATGCATTCAGCCCTTCAAAACAAATACAATCCACAAAGTTATGTTTATCCGTGCTTCTTCCTGCTTTCTAGTAGGATGGGTATGAAAGAAAAGACATTATTGCTTCTGTCGAAAAATCAAAATAAACTACTTCTACACAGTAGAAAGCATTATATCCAGATCCTTAGCACAGTTGATTGTGCTAACAAATAGTCAACAAGTATCGTAATCAGTAGAAAAGTATTAAAGCGATATAACTATTGTTTCTAGAGAGGGGTGTGTAGATTCTTCGGGCCTACAGACAAAAGCCATTTCCTTCTTGACTTGGAACCCAAAATGAGAACAACAAGACCTCCACCATGCAACAAGGCGATCAGCAGATTGATGGGGAGAAAAAGAGGAAAAAGCCAAAAACTTCACGAGAATTAAAAGCGATGAAAGTTCATAGATTACATGTCGAAGATTTGGTGAAATAATTCTAAGTTATAGCGAATATTATGTTTTGTAATTGTATTTTTGTAAGTTTGTAACATTGCCAATTAATTACGGTGATTTATAATTTTAAATAGGTTTCCTGAAACGCCATACATCATATCTGTAGTTTACTATCTTTATTTTCAATCTTATTTTATTCCAAATCGGTTTTCTTAATCTTTCTCGTTTTAAAATCAGATTATTGAATTGAATATTGAATGACTAGATGAACGACTACTTCCGGTCGGAGAAGATAGAATTGTTCATTCTCGAAATGTGCATTTTATTTCAAATATATCGTTTTCATGACAATATTAAAACCTTCTTAAATTAGGCGTATAATAGCGTACATGTAGGCATAGCTACGAATGAGCATGCTATGCTTCGATTTGACAAAAACCCCATGGCAATAAACTTCATGAGATGGTCTACCTTATTGAATGTCGTGCACTGGACACTAAATTGGTGACCTACAATTAGATTTTGAGAAGGTTTATGCCCAAATACAGTTTTTTCATTTTAACTTCACTTTGTAACTGCCTTGTACTTAATTTGGAGAAACAATATCTTGAGTATGACCTAAAATAGTGTTTCAGTTCTCTATTTTTAAACTTGACTTCATTTTGTAACTGCCTTGTACTTAATTTTAAGAAAATTCCTTAAAGAGATTTAATTTTCTTTGATTAATCATTGAAAACTGTTATTGTCTGGACTGAAATGTTTTCTATTCCCAAATGGACTGAAAATACATGAAAAGGTTAGAGTTACACATCGGATTTTTAACGCATGAAAGGCATTCTAGTTATTGTAGGTGATGCTACATAAAACACACGATTTAATCAATTTTCTTTGAGTTTTTTCACAAAAAATCGAAATGTTGTGGTATTAATTGAAATACCTCATAAATACTTAATCTTCAACAATTTTACTCCTATTCGATAGTAATTAAATAATAACAAAGAATATATAAAAATATATAGATAGGGCACTTCAACAAGATAAAAGTAATTTGTTAACCACTTAAAATGTTTAAGTATCCTTGATGAAAATCCTGCACCATTCATCTGTAAAGGACCACACATAGGTACTTTGAAGAGCTGTCGACTGCTGTACCAGCAAAAGTGACACCCAACGTCCAGCAAGACTTTTGGGTTCGATCCCAGCATAAGTCTAGTTAGATGTACCTCGTTGCTGTTTTCTTTTCAGAAATTACTCATTGGTGTGTTTTAGACATGGATGTCCAACAAGAGCTTTGGGGATCGATCCCAACATAAGTCTGGCTATTTCTTTGCGGAGGTTACTCATTGTTGTGTTTAAATCATGAACGCTCTGTGGGAGATTGACATAATTCTAGCTAGATGGTACCTCAGGACTATTTTCAAACCTATTTCAGAGATGCCAGTTGGTCGGCGTGGAAAAAGTCAATCGCGAGCCAAATCAGGAACTAATTCATTTGAATAAGGCTAAAATCTTAGGTGACCAGGAAGTGATAAGACTGTTTTCTGATGTAAAATAAATATGTACATTAGACGGAGTAATTGATGAGATGAAAAACTCTCTGTTATAACCTTCACGCCTTGGTAGATTCTGGTATTCAATTTATTGAGCACTAACTCATTGAAGGGTTTCAAAATCCGTCTACCGTAAGTGATATCTATCATTTACTTCAACAACTTTGTCAAATCGACGATGAACAACTGTTTTAATTTAGAAAAGGAAGAGACAATTTTAAACATGTAGAAACGTAATTAAAAACCAGGGTGTAAATAAAGAGCTTGCATCACAGATCGTGTATGATCAAGAGAAACATAAATCAAGCAGTAGCGGCCCCAGTATAGGGATACATTTGCACACCCACTTCATTTCTAAGAAATTCAAAAACATTAATTTTAAATGTTTTAAGCCCAAATATATGTCAGAATGCACCAAATCACTTCTGTTTTTCAAAAATTGTCTTGTGGACAACCATCTCAGCCGTTCTATAGGAAGTTTGTCCACTTTGGGCTTCCAAAGAGCAGCCTTATTTAGAGTTCAACCTTGACAGGGCCCCATCCCCCTCCAACCCCCCCCCCCCCCCCC